TTTTTTTTCCCCCGAATATCTGGTGCTGACTGAAAAAATGAAATGGGTGGGCAGGCAGGAGTCTGGTGAGACCGAGTATAAGAAGAAACCAGGGAAGGCGCAAAGCTACACAGAGAAACCCTGTCTCGAAAAAAAAAAAAAAAAAAAAAAAAAAAGAAAAGTTCTATTCCCCCTGCAGTCTGGTTGCCTGATCCCTCTTCTGTTTCAGCATGTATTTCTATCTTGCTTTCACTTTTCCCCTCCTGCCTCTGTCTCTCCATGACTCTCCATTTAATGCTCTGGTCCTCGCCAGCTTTGGGTCTTTGTCCCCTCCCCTGTCTCAGCCTGGAGTCCAGCAGCAGTTACAAGAGAGGAGTCCAGGAGCCCAAGAACACTCAGTTCTTCCCTTTCTAGCCTCAGGGCAGAGTCTCAGTGTGCCAGCTACAGTGTGAGCCAGCTGGGGGAAGAGGCAGGGAACAGGGAGGGTTTACACTCGTCAGGATGTGTACTTAAATACACCCATTCAGTGTCCCTGTCTTCAGTTGTTGGGGAAATAAAAATAATAAGAAATCAGAACTCAAGACTCTTCCACGTTTCACATCAGTGGTTTATCATTTTCCTAGGGTTTAACCTATAACTTCTTCCTTCTTCCCCTTCCTGTATGGTCTGCAGGCCCTGGCAACTTCTCCAGCTGCACCTGCCTCTGCCCCACCATTCCATTCCAGCCTCCCTAATCTCCGTCGACCCCCAGCCTGTCTTTGCCCAGGCTAGCTCCTCTGGCTGAAGTGTTCCTTCCCATTGGTCTGCTTGAGGTCTCAGATCCTGTGACATCAAGCCACTTCCTCAGCAAAGGCCCCTTGGATCAGGTTATCTAAAGCAGGACCCCCTTCCCCAGTGTCCCTTGCTGTAGAGCTCCATTTCCTCGAGGGTGCCTGTCTCAGATTGCAGTTACATCTATTTATATTTGCTGCACCACCCCCTGCTGGAACAGAAGTTTCATGAAGTCTTCATGAAAGCAAGGACCATGTCTAGAACCATTTGTCAGTTACCCACCCATTCATTGTTTATTGAGCATGCCAGATACCAGGCCCTGAGGGACAGGCTTCTAAAGATGGTGATAAATACCAAATCCATCAAATAGCAGGTGGTCTGTTTAGAACTGTAGCAACCCTCTTCCCCCACTGTTAGTTCACTCACCATCACCCCCACAACTCTCCTTCCTCTCTTCCTGATTCCTCCCTGAATGTAAGCTTCATGAGGGGGGAGGGCTTTTTAAAAATTTATGTTTTAATTTTAAATTATATGTGTGCCTATGTGCATGAGAGTGCAGTGCCCTACAAGGCCAAAAGTGATCAGATACCCTGGAGCTGCAGTTACAGGCAGCTGAACAACTGGACAAGGTGCTGGGAATCCATCTTGGGTCCTCTGCAAGAGCAGAATGTACTCCTAACCACTGAACCATCTCTCCAGCTCCCAGATTTTTTTTTTTTTGGTCTGTTTTTTATATCTCCTCCATGACCTACAACAATCATTGAACCAATGACTCTGTATCTGTTCAGTATTTGAGAAAGAATGGGTTTCCAGATGTGAGGCTGTCTCTTACACTGTTCAAGCCAGACAACTTTGATTCTGATCTTGGTGTTGCCTCATACTGATGCATAATCATGGAAAAGCCACTCTCTATAATCTCAATTTTCTCAGCTGTGTATCGGGATTACGGTGGTCTGTGTCTCCTAGGGCAATGGTGAAGATTAACAGAGTCCCAGCGGGAGAGGCACTTACATGGTGCCTGGTCTTACCTAGCCACTGACAACTAGTTTGCTGGTAGTTGTGTTGGGCAGAGTTCCAAATTTATTTACCCCGAGTAGCCAGAGGCTATTGAAGGAGACACGGGAGTTAATGGGAGAGGTGAATTTCGTGTTAGTGAAAGTATAAGCCAGAATTCTAAAGGCCCAACAACGTTTTTTGGTAGGTCGAGGAGTGCTCTGTCACTGGAGGGAGATGGGAATGTGTATTCGGAAGGGCCAAGGTAGAAAGAAGTTAAACAATGGAGGGGACAGAGGAGCCAAGTGTCCCTGGATCACAGTCCCAGCCGAGGGCACCAAATGTGCTGTCTGAGAATGCTCATGTGAATTCTGGCACCGGCCGATGGGTCTTCTCGACGGGGTGCAGGAGTGGGGGAAGGGCGCGCCGGGGCCAGCGGGCCCAGGGACCCGGGCCGCAGCGCGCGCCACCGCCAGCAGGGGACGCCTCGAGACCGCGGAACTCGTGCCCGGGGGCCTGACGTCAGCGCCCCGCTCGCTCGGGCTCCCGCTCTGGACTCGGCGCCAGTCCCGCTCCGCGCGGCGCTGCTCCGCTACGGCTCCCGCTCGCCTTGGGCTCAGGCTCGGCTCCGGTGGCGTCGCCTTCCTAGCAGCGGGTCCCTAGGACCCAGGCGGCGGCGCCCCAGCCATGGCCCGTGCTCAGGCTCTGGTCCTGGCGCTCACCTTCCAGTTCTGCGCGCCGGAGACCGAGACTCCCGCAGGTAAGCGCGCGGGGTCCCTCCGAGCTCATCCCGCGAGCACCAGGGCCGGGGATGGCTCGTCGCGCGTGTCGGAGTGAGGGATGCTCGGTCGTATGCTCCGAAGGTCTGTGACCGCGGTGTCCGTAGTTTGTGTGCAAGCTGAGGTTGCTTGTATACCGCGGCTGCGAGTGTGCTGGCGTGCGTGTTGCCTGCGTGGGGCACCGGGTGTGCTCTAGCTCGTGTCTGCCGGTGTCTGTCGGTGCTGCCAAGTGGGTTGTATATTTGAGTTTCCGTAGCTTGGCTGGAGTTGCGTCTGACACTGTGTTGCATTTGTTGGCTTTTTTTGTATTCCCCAGGCGGGAGTGCTGTTGCTGGTGCGTTCGAGAACCCGCGTGTTTGTTTTATGCGTGTACTGCAAGGGTTCTGTGGATCTTGCTCGATTGTGGGCCCCGGGAGTGCGTGTGTGGTGTGTGTATGTGTGCAGGCGTGGGAACGGATCTGAACCTGTGTGTCTGTGCGCTGTGTCCACGATTGTCCCTGTGGGAGCGTTTGGGGTGTGCGGTGCTGTGTGGGTCCGGAGAATGCGTGTGGGGGAGCTTTTCTGGAGTAGATGTGAGTGTGTCGGTGCCCGTTGGTTGCGTGGCTAGGAATACTGCGAGCGTGGGGCGCTCCTGGGCCGTGGTCGAGTGTGGCCGGGAGCCGAGGGTGTGTGTGCATGTGTGAGTGTGTGTATGATCGCGCGCGCGCGCGTGCGTGGCGCACCCGGCCGGAACAAGTTGTCGCGGCAGCGTCCCTCGGAGGCTGGGGCGGCCCTGCGGCTGGCCAGGGAAGGAGTGGGTAGAGACGCGGCTGTGGCCTCCGACTCCGACATTTCGGGCCGTTTGTTGTTTCGCAAGTTCCGCGCGGCGCTGGCTGGCTGCTGATCCGAGGCGGCGCCAGGGCCGCGGGGCGCCCGGGTGGGGAGGACCGCGGGGCGCACCCGGGTGCGGGCGGGGCTGCGGCGTCGGGGCCCCCTCGGGGCCTGGCTGGAGGCCGCGGGACGGCCTCCCCATCGTGGCTCGCCAGAGGCGCCGGGAACGCCGCGGTCCCCGGGGACGCTGCCTACGTCTGCTTTGCAACTTTGTGCGGCCTCCCGGCCAGCCGGGTCCGCGCGTGCGGACGTGTGTGTGAATGTGTGCGTGGGGCTCCCGCTTGACCTGCGGTGTGATCGCACACTTGTGTGTGCTTTGGAGTCTGGCGTCCTTTGGAGGGTGTGTGTGTGTGTGGGCGCGCGCTCGTGTGTGTGTGTGTGTGTGTGTGTGTGTGTGTGTGTGTGCGCGTGCGTGTGTGTGTGCTTTCGCCTGTCTGAATGTGTATGTCCAGCGCCCGTGTCTGTGCGTTCGCGAGCGCATCGCATCGTGTGCTGTGTGGAAGGTGTGGAAGGTGTGCTTGTGTATGTGCGTGGCCCACAGTCCCTTCCTGAGGCCTGGACCCCAGGCCTCGGCCCCTCCAGCGGGCGTGCTTCTTCCAGGGCTTTCTCTTGCCATGGCTCCAGCCACCCGGCGTGGGGTAGCGGGGAGCCGCCTCGGGTGGAAGCAGGGCGGTCACTTGCGTTGCCGCCTCGGGGGGGGGGGGGACAGACTCCAGGCCGCCTGCTCCAGACAGCTGGCCTCCGGGGATCTAGATCACAGCCCCGCCCCCCACTCCGGGGGAGGGGTAGCTCCCCGGAGCTGTCCTGGCCTTGCCCTGCAGCTCTGGGACCTTGCTACTCAGCTTCAGTTTTGACCTCCTGGTACCTGAGAGGGGGATCCAGGCAACCTGCCTCTTAGACCATCCTCAAACCTTCTAACCTTCCCCCATTCTGAGATCTCCCACCCCACCCGCATCACCTTGATTTGAGAACACACCTGGGTCTCAATTGCCATGACAGTGGACTGTCAGGATTAAGGTTTGGGAGACCTACTGCAGATTATTCTCATTCCTGTGCCTCAGTTTCCCCATCCTCTTCGTGGTGTTAATAATGATCGCATGTGATACTTGGTAGAATGTAAAGTCCTCTAGTTGGGAAGACCCGAAGATGGGTTGGAGGGGTGTGGCAAAGCCCGAGAGGCTAATTTGAAGTCAAGGGAACATGGGTTCAAATTTTGCCTCTGCTATTTGCTGTGTGTATGTGACCTTGGGTAAGTCACTTTACTTCTGAAGCTCCTGGCACCTTTGAAGCTTTTACTATTATAGAATGATCCAGAAGCCTGGGGAAGAAGGAGGGTGGCAGCCCCCTGTCTGCAGTCTAGACAGTGAATCTAGTCCCCTGCCTACCTCCCTAGTCACCAGGTGGGGGTCTGTGTAGAGTGTCTCAGCTGTGCGAACCTGGCCCAGTAATTTTTCCTGTGGCACTCTGGCTCAATATGTCTTTTTGGTCACTGGAGTTGTGGACGGCAGGAATGAGGGAGAAGTCTCCAGAGGGCTTGTCAGGACAGCCCAGATTTCTCTCTGGGGCTGAAAGGGGGGCTAGGCAGGAAGCCAGGAGGGTGGCCTGGATCCTATGCCACACCTCCGGGCTGCCTCCTGCCTGTATCTGGTGGCAGGGGAGGTCCATGGCCGTGCCCTGTTTTCTGGAGGCATGCTGTTATCTTCCATGCTGTCCCCAGCTGGGTGTGGAGGGTGGCCTCCACACCCGGCTAGGTCAACCAGAGTGGCAGGAGGTGCTTGGGGGCTTCCCTTTGTGTCCTGAACTGTCCCATCCTATGCCTCTGCCACTTCTCCCTTCTCTCCCTCCTCAGCCATCTTCCGCCCGCAGGAAGGCTGCAGCCTCTTCCTTCCACTGTGCCAGAGTTCTTCCTAAAATGCACATTTAAACCTCTCCTCAGATCCTCCTCAAAGCTCCTCAGTAGTTTCAGAGTTAAGTCTTTCCCTTGGCTCCGTCAGTGCTCTGGCCCCTGCCTACCTGGCCCACCCCATCTTGTGTTCTGGATAGCCTTATTTACCAGTAGTCCCTAAGTGCCCACCGGCCACCGTCTCGTCTCTGCACCTTGTACAAACCCTCCTTTCTCGCCAGGACTCTCTGATTCCACACCTTCCAATGTGAGTCTCCAGTTTGTCTCTCTGCTGAGGTATCACTTCCCCCTCGAAGCCTTCCTTGGTTTTCCTCTGTTCTAGCCTAGGAAAGAGGAGGTAGGAGTTGATTGGGTTTTTATATGATATTGGAATTACCATCTCTTAGTCCCGTCACCCTTATGAGACCAGGAATTCTGTAAGGAAAGTCGCTGTGGAGCTGAATACTTGGTGCCAGGCACGAGGCCTCAGCCTCCTCGTCTGAATAAATGGATATGATATCCAAGAGTGTGAATGAAGCTGGGTGATATGGTTCAGTCCTGTAATCCAAGTACGGGGGAGAGGCTGAGGCAGGAGGATTGATTGTTGCAGGTTTTGAGGTCAGCCTGAGTTGCAACAGTGAGTTGCCCATGCTAGCTAGAGCAACCGACATTGTAGTTAAAAAAAAAAAAAAAAAAAGGCAGAAAAGAATGAATGAAGTCAAGTGGGTCAAATTCAGAGCTGGAGATGCCCAGATGGGGGCGCAGTGGCTCCACTGAACATAGACTTGAAGGCTGAGTTTTTTTTTGCTCTGGTAAGACTCTGGAAAATTCTGCTGGTGGATGGTGCTACGTTGTGAAAAGGCCATGTCCGGAAAGTGTCATCTGGGAGCTGTGAGTTAAAGAGGTTGAGTCCCTGGCAGAGGCTGAAGGGAGAGAGCTCTTGAAGGAGGGCCCCTCCCCCGGCCTCCTGGTGCCGCCTCCTCTCCTCTCCCCTCCCCTGGCTCCACCCCTAGCTGCTGGCTCAGCTTGTCCAGTCCAGGGAGTCCCAGGCTTTTGTGATCAGGAGAACCGTTGGTGAGGCGTCCAGCGAGTCTCAACCGTCAGTCTGAACATGGGGAGGAGGGAGGAGGGAGAAGAGCCCATGTGAGGCAGACATGCCTTCAGTCCGCAGTCACAGATGGACCGTGGCCTGGGTAGAGGAGGCCACAGTCTTCCTCCTGGATCCCGAGGGACTGTCTTTGAGCTGGAGAGAAGAGAGGCCAGCATTGTAGGGGTTGGGGGAAGGCAGACAGATGTATACAGGTGTGATCCCGTGGCTTGGGCAGCCAGAGTGGGGCATGTGTGTTTATGCATGTGTGTGTCATGGAGGGGCCAGGTGCACAAGGCACATGCATGGCCTGCCAGGGTGCCAAGCCTTCCGGTCACCTTGCTGTGGCTAGATCTGAGTTTGGAGTTGGGAAGAAACAGCCGTGACACCCGGGGATCCCCCAGTATCTCATTCCTGGAATGGTACAGAGTTTCTGGGTGCCTCAGAGTGGGTGCACCTATCCCAGGGTGTGAGAATATTGGGGTGTACAGAGGATTGTACAATGGCTCTGATCTGCAGGCTGGTGCCTCCAGGTTCTGTGGGCCCATGGGCATCGGTCCAGACCGCCGTATCCAGTAGAAGCTTCCATAGTGATGGCCAGGCTCTTTCCTTGCAGGGGTGGCTTCTTACTCACCTGTGGCCATTCAGTTTAAATTAGGTGCAATTAATTAAAATACTAATTTAGTTCATCAGTTGCACTAGCCAAGTCTCCAGCCCTCAACTCTTACACACTGCTAGTAGTTATCAGCATATCGACAAGTAGAGGACCTCCCCGCACTTGTAGAGTGTTCTGTGGACTGTGTTTGTCTGAAACAGTGGTTCTCAGCCTATGGGTTGAGACCCCTTTGGGGGTAGCAGATCAGATATCCTGCATATCAGATAGTGGCATTTCAGTTCGTAACAGTAGCAAAATTACAAATTATGAAGTAGCAACAAAGTAATTTTATGCTTGGAGGTCACCACAGCACGAGGAATTGTATTAAAGGGTTGCGGCATCAGGAAGGCTGAGAACCTCTGCTCTAAAAGGACAAGCCGGCAGAGCTTTAGTGTGGCCTGGGCTCTGCAGAGAGTGGAGCTGGCGTGGACGGAGAAACAGCCCCATACACTCCCCCTCCCTGCCACAACCTCCATCACATCCTGCC